GAACAATATTTGCCAATCTCACAACCCATTGATCTCTCTTTTCATCGTCATTACGAGGTAATGCTCCAAAACCTTTCTGTTCTGAATTGTAATAACTTGCAAATGTTTTTCTAATGGCAACCCATCCAAATGCTTGAATTTGATCGAGATAGAACAGAACACCTGCCGAGGTCCAATCTCCTTTAAATGTCTGATTATTGTTTTTGTATTCTTTTTCTAAACCACGAGGAGGATTATAAGCACGTGCATAGGTGAAGGAATTTTCTGGAAAATTTTCTTCCAAATAGAGAGAGTAAATGTTGTTGGTGAGCTCACCGGATTGATCATAGGTCCATTCTCCTCGTTGGAACTTTGTGTTTCAATATCTCGAGATGTCATGAAAAAATATTGCCAAACCATTAATATACTTACGTTGTGACCTAATTCATGGTAATGTCCCCAACGAGAGACTGCATTTGGTCGTAATCCTTGCTCTGCTGTATTGCTTGGTGTCACCAAAGCTTCATTTTGATCTAAAAACGTCATGATAGGATAACCACTGTGCATATATCCAGCAGAGATTTGAATATCTGTTTGAAACCTCTCTTTATAATCCCTCACACCTTCCTGTGATAGCTCATAATACATTGGTAGTACTTTTCCCCAGTAATCTGACACTGCCTTAATATCTGTTATATTTCTCGCAAAAGGGGTGGATTGAACATTAATAGATACATGTTCAGTTTCAACCTCAATCCATGGTCCTGGTTCATTTCGAATGGTATTAATCCAATCTGCATTAGTATGTTTGTCAAAACGCCAGAACGGAGTTTTCACAATTTGTCCACTAATGGTCACACTCAAATCGGTTACTGGAATTGTTTTCAAAGAAACGAATATAGTACCTCCATTAAATGCAATAAACCATGATGTGGAATTTCCTGAAGAGATGTAGTATTGTGAGGAGATTGAAGGCCATCTATTCCATTCATCTAAATTTTCCAAATTGTCTGTATGTGATCCAATGAGAATATATTCGACAGAGTTTGGTGAACTCACAGTGATTGTTATATTGGCTCCTGGAAGAGCATAATAACCTGTACATTGCCAACGTCTTCGTGTGGATGAAATTTGAATGGTGACAGTTGTGGATTTTGTGTTTCGAGAATTCACATTGCCTTGAGGAAGACCAGGAAAGATCTCTCCAGCTTGTATTTCAGGATTGTTTGAGAGTGGTAAAGTATTGATAGAGTTCAAAACTTTGGCAAGAAAGACACAAAACTTTTTGTCTATGGTGGAAATAGGATATGTGACGAGTGACAATCCGGTACATTTTGCATTATATACAGCCAAAGTTTTCGAAAACGTTTCAACATTCTGCTCGGCCATTACAACCGGTGGTATCAATGTAAATCTAATTCTGTCTAAAGTTGTCGCTATTTGTTTCACTTCACTGAAAGAGGATGGAATTGTGTTTGATTGCAAAATTGCATCCAATTTGAAATACGGATTGTATTGAACCACAGAGTTAGCATTCACATATGGTGAAGATGCATAATTATTGCTAAACGAAATTCCTGTTTTGGTAAAGAAGACATTTCCTGGAAAGTTATATAGAGGAGAAGAGAGAGAATGAGCCCATGAAGTAACACCCACAATGATGCCTCCACCTCTTTTGAGATAATTGTCCATCATTTGAAACATTTCACTTGAGACTTGTCCAACATTATTCAAATTGAGAATTAACAAATCAACTACCTCCAATGGACGAATATTACTGTCGAATGCATTGGTAGTATTCTTGAACAAGGAAAATCCAGGGAGTGTTCCGTACAAATTTGATGCATCATTTGAGTTGACACCATGAACCATAAACAAGACATTACTACTCTTATAATGAGTCACCCATTGAGCACAGTTCAACAATAAATTACCCAAATCTGTTCCCTTTCGGTTCCCACTCATGAAACCGTTATGAGAAAATGCGCAAATTCTACCACTATTATTTTCTGAAGTCAAGTAAGTTGAAGCCACTACGATGGGAACTGAATCTGAACCGACAATCAAAGGGACACTGTACGGACCGTGTGAAAGGATGGTACCTGGTACACCACTCAGTTGCACACCTTGTACGTTGTTCAATAGTGAGAGACGGATGATATCGAGTTGAGAAGAAGTGGCTCCTTCAACCATTGAATTGTCTTTTGCTGGTTGCATGACCAACAACAACAACAACAACACATGAATAGTCATTATCATTGCCCTTTGGATCCTGGAACATGTACGACGGATGGTCATTTTCGATTATCTCTTGATTGTTTTTTTTTGAATGAATTGGATTGGATTTGACAGGTTCAGTATTTTTAAAACCGCTGTGGTCTCATAGAATCAAATCGCACGACTAACCAATTTCGTTGATTACTGATTTGCAAGGAGTTTGTATAGTTTAGTGATGGAAAGTGTTGGCTTTAACTTTTGGTATCAAGTGAAAACATAGAAATTTCGGTCGATTTCAATCCATTGAAATTTCTTGTTGTTGGACTGTTGGAGTATATCTCCATCGCAAATCTCATGAGAGTATACAAAAGGATGAAAATGGTAATGTCATTCCATGTCTTTTCATGAAGCATCCATCATGAATTGCAAAGAAAAAGGAATGTGGGCTTCATATACAGAGAATTTATGACCCATCACACTACTATTTCTCATGCAATTCATGATGGATGCTTCAAGAAAACGAAAAATTACAAGCTGAAATAGAAATGTCACACAATTTAGAAATTGAGGCCTATTCTCAAGCTTGACGTCTAAGATTGGATTCTCAGGTCAACTTATCCCACGATATAGCAATAGGTCTCTTTATTCTCACGACGAAGAATCATCTATAGAGAGTAGTCCAAACGTTTCCTCGAGCGCTTTTGAATTTGGTTTTCAAAACTCTCCTAGAACTCCAAAAGCTAAGCGTAATGTCACATCAACAGCCAGTTTACCAGCAACATCCGAGGAAGTGAGAATTGAGGAGTTTTAAGCCTACTTTCAAAGAGAATTAGTTTTGTGACAATATGTTTCTGTCCCTCAACAATGTTCCTATTTTACCGATTTGTTGAACAGTTCTGAGTAAAATGTTTTCACTCTCTGCAACATCTCTGCATGCTTTTGGATTTGCTCTTCTTTCAAGTATGGTGGCTCTAACAAATAGGACAAAACACTTGGCTCCTTCCCCAGCAACACAGAAATACATTCTTTTACACATGACGCTGTTTCTTCAATGTTGTAACCACCTTCCAAGGCACAAACAACCTTCCCTTTTGCTAGCTCCATCAGCAATGCTGTGAGATGGCCGTACACTTGAGGGGAACACAATTGGCCTCCAAGCTTATCACCTTTCACAGCATCAAACCAATATTGGTTGCATTATTTCCTTCGATAGAATCTGATACATTCGTTGGTTCTGGCTCGATTTGGTTGCAGAGAGTGAGCTGATTCCGTTCGGAGCTTTTAAAAGATGAAGGAATTCTATGAGGCTTGATTTCAATAAGAGGAAATTTGGCCTCAATCACTTGTTGGTTGTCTTGTTGAGAGAAAGATCCCGAACAAAGAGATGAAGGTAAAGGCTTGACGTATCGAACCGTAATGTAAGGAGCAGGTGAGGTGGTCTCTGAAGATAAAGACATTTTTTTAAAAACTGTACACCTTTGGGTTTGGGTTTGGGTTTGGGTTTGGGTTTGGGGTTTGGGTTTGGGTTTGGGTTTGGGCTTGGGCTTGGGCTTGGGCTTGGGCTTGGGTTTGGGTTTGGGTTTGGGTTTGGGTTTGGGTTTGGGTTTGGGTTTGGGTTTGGGTTTGGGTTTGGGTTTGGGTTTGGGTTTGGGTTTGGGTTTGGGTTTGGGCTTGTGGGTTTGGGTTTGGGTTTGGGTTTGGGTTTGGGTTTGGGTTTGGGTTTGGGTTTGGGTTTTTTGGGTTTGGGTTTGGGTTTGGGTTTGGGTTTGGGTTTGGGTTTGGGTTTGGGTTTGGGTTTGGGTTTGGGTTTGGGTTTTTGGGTTTGGGTTTTTGGGTTTGGGTTTGGGTTTGGGTTTGGGTTTGGGTTTGGGTTTGGGTTTGGGTTTGGGTTTGGGTTTGGGTTTGGGTTTGGGTTTGGGTTTGGGTTTGGGTTTGGGTTTGGGTTTGGGTTTGGGTTTGGGTTTGGGTTTGGGTGGGTTTGGGTTTGGGTTTGGGTTTGGTTTTTGGGTTTGGGTTTGGGTTTGGGTTTGGGTTTGGGTTTGGGTTTGGGTTTGGGTTTGGGTTTGGGTTT